TGTCACTGCAGCTTTGCAAGGTCGAAGTGACAGAGTGCAAACTTAGCCAGGAATTGAGAGCGCTGTGAACATGCCACGAATGTCACAAACGAGCAGGTGGGCAATCTTGCTCATCGACCCATGAGCAGAGGCTGTGATCTTATCATGCAGGGATTAAAGAGGCATTGGCGAGGTAGTTAGAGCCCCCTCTGCTCCCTGGTCTGGGAGGTTTCACGTGCTAACTTGGTCCAAGGTCTAGTGCATCTCCAGGAAGGCGGCCTCTGTCTCTTCTGTGACTCATCCTGGGGGCACTCTCAACTGGGGAGCTTGGTGGACCATATGTTGTGTGATCTTTTTCTTTGCCTGATTTTGGTAAGAAGTATGTATGTATGTATGTATGTGTGTGTGTATTTATTTATTTAAAGATTTTTTTATTCATGAGAGAGAGAGGCAGAGACATAGACAGAGGGAGAAGCAGGCTCCCCCATGAAGCCCAATGTGGGACTCTGGGATCACACCCTGAGCCAAAGGCAGATGTTCAAATGCTGAGCTACCCAGGCATCCCAGTAAGAAGTATTTTAGAAGGGCCTTCCCCAGAAAATGGAAATTGAATTAAAAAAATAGTCTCAGAGTTGACTGAAACAGAAATGAGAATTTTGAACTTGGGAAGGTCTGGTCCCACAGTGTTTGGTGAGTAGAGCTTATCTGGGAGCCCTCCTGATTTCCTAGAGCCAGCTGCTCAGACCACCAACTTGAGTTGGTTTTAGAGGGGGGTCCCCCTCACCTGATATCTTGGACTTCTGCCTGACAGGGAGCTCCCGGCAGCAGGCTGTGATGTAATAATATAAGACCCATTTCAAGTTCACCCCTGTATTACAATTCCAAGTTCTCCCTGACACCCAATCCTTTCAATTTTTTTTAAATTTTTATTTATGATAGTCACACACACACAGAGAGAGAGAGAGAGAGAGAGAGAGAGAGAGAGAGGCAGAGACATAGGCAGAGGGAGAAGCAGTCTCCATGCACCGGGAGCCCAACGTGGGATTCAATTCCGGGTCTCCAGGATCGCGCCCTGGGCCAAAGGTAGGCGCTAAACCACTGCGCCACCCAGGGATCCCTACCCGATTCTTTCAGATGGGCCTTTCTAACCTGATCCCTGAGAATCTTTTCTGGGTTACTCATCAGCCCACAACTGCCTTGTGGCAATCTCTTGTTCCACCAGGTTACCTCTGACTCTGAGTCTTTAGAATTCCTTCTTGCACCTTGATCACTTCTGACTTTCTCTCTTTTAACCTGTCTGAGAGATGTCCCCAAATCAGAGGTTAGGGAGGACTCCAATGTCTTCATTGGCGATGGACGCCAGCTTCTCTGAGAGGATCTGTCCACAGGTCATGTCTTCTCTCAAATCAGAGCTGACAGGGTTTCTTCTTTCCCTTGTCCAAGAGCAAGTAATTCCTTCGTGGTCCTCGGAAAGAGCTCAGATGCAAGCAACATCTAATTCTCACTCACACAGCACAGAGGTCTGGCAAGCTAACCAGGCCATCCTGCCTTCTCCCCAAGGGCCTTAGCCTCTCCATGTTTCCTGGGACTCCTGTTGTCTTTTAGGGTCTCAGGTATTCAGGCATTTTAAAACATGGCAGTTACATTATTCATATGTATTTCTGCCTCTGTGAATGACAGACATAGTTGCTAACAGCATGAATGGAGAGACTTCTCTAGAGGGCAGTGAAAGGGTCTGTATTGATCAGATGCCTAACATAGGCAAATGTCTGAAGTTTATGGATCCTGCATGTGAGTATCTTAGTATTTTCCTAGGCAGGTTTTAAGGACATTAGATGAAAGGAATAAAACTCTGAAGACTGAATGAAAGCAGGCAGGAGAGAAACAGGAAGCAAAGAGAAAAGGGGCTTCCCTTACCCTTTCACAGTGACACAACTTCTGGGGGGGGACAAGTTTCTGCCCCCCCACGTTAATAACCATGAATCGTTTGAGGAAGGAATACTATGATGTGTTATGAGAGTAAAAACCTGACTTGGATTTAGTGGCTTCTGAATGTCAGGCATTTATGTGCACATCCTGCATATCCCCTTGTCTTACTTAGTCTGTTCTGGCTGCTGTAACAGGAAACAACTGTCAGTGCATTTCCCTGCTCTGGCAGCTGGAAGTCCAAGATCATGGCACCTTCAGATCTGGTGAGGACCCACTTGATCAGAGGTGGCCTTCTCTCGCTGTGACCTCACAAGACAGAAGGGGATGGAGACTCTCAGGCTGATTTTATAAGGGCACTAATTGCATTCACAAATGCCCCCCCCCCATCATGTCTTCAGAACCTCCCAAGGGTCCCACTTCTTTTTTTTTTTTTAAGATTTTATTTATTTATTTGACAGTGAGAGAGAACACAAGCAAGAGGTGTGGCAGGCAGAGGGAGAGGGAGAAGCAGGCCAGGGAGCCTGATGCAGGGCTCCATCCCAGGACCCTGAGATCATGACCTGAGCCAAAGGCAGAGCCCAAATGACTGAGCCATCCAGGTGCTCCGGGGTCCCACCTCATAATACCATCACCTTGGAGGTCGGAATTTCAACATACGAATTCTGGGAGGCATAGACATTCAACCTATAACATCCCTATAGCTACTGTATTGAATAAAGATTCTTTATAAAGAGGAAACCCTAAAGGCTGGCCCTACTGGTACCTCAGACCCTGTTTCTCCCCATGACTTCATGCTCTCATCTTCACTTTACACCACATGCACTCTCATTTGCTTTCCATGGATCTTATGTTGATTTTCGTTGGGCAAAACTGTTCTTTTTATTAACAAAAGATACTCTCCAATTTAAGGAAAGTTGTAGGACACTAAATCCTATTGGTGCCTGCTTGTCACAGTTGCACAATTCAGAATTGCAAAGCCATCATAATTCAAAGCACTGTTGGCTTGGTAATTCACTTCATTAACGGTGCTGCCTGAATAAAATACACAGCAGATTAGAAATAAACAAATCCTTGGAAGGTACGATAATGTATTCAGAAAGCACAGAAGGTCAGGCCTGAAGACAGAGGAAGGAGAAGGAGGAAGGACATGGTGGGGAGGGGGGAGAAAAATCCCATCAGGATAAAGAGGGATTTTGTGAGCCTGTATGTTCTCTGTGGACAGTGTTTTTAGAAGGCGTTTCTGAGAACTCTCGGAGAATTAATTACGAAGCTGCCTTTGTCTATCTCTGCCTCCTACCTCTTGCTCCCTCACTTCCTGTATCCAATATCTTAAGAAATCCTGTGAGTCTCACCTCCAGAACAGATCTCAAGACTGTCAGCTTCTGATCCCTGCTTTGCTGTGGGGTCGGGCCTGTGCCAAGTGCTGGCTGGGCTCCACAGGCAGGTACGGGTTAGGGCTTTCCAGCACTTTCTTTCCCCTGCCACTCCCGTTTTGGAAGCAGGTTGTTGGAATGAAGGTGCCATGAGACCGAAGACCTGCTGGGTCCTTAAATTGCAGGGAGCACAGCTGCCCAGGAAAGCCACCCAGCTGTGCGGTGGGCACTTTGGAGTAGAGCAGGGAAGGACCTGCACCTGCCGGTTGGGGGTTGTCACATCGTGTTCCGTTGTATCCTTACTAGGAAAACAGACTGCCTTCCTCCCTCTCCTAACCTGCCCACCTTTTTGGCAGCCCTGCCTCCCCTCATCTCATTTCTCAGCAAAGCGAGCTCTTCAAATGTACGTACGGGCCACAGGACTCCCCTGCTTCCCCTTGTTGTTAGGGTAGACTGTCACCCCGAGCAGGCCTGTGTGCTCTGGCCCCTCCTTGCTACTCCACACATCTTTTCCCCTTTCTGCCATGAGCCCCACCTGCCTTCTTTCAGTTCCTCAGACACTGTGGGCTGCCCTGCCTCCCATTCTGGAGCCTTGGCACATGCTTTTTCCTCTGCCTGGAACGTTCCCCCCACATCCCAAAGTTCACCTACCTCACTTACCTTATCCTTGCAGTCTCTGACCTGAACAACACTGTCTCCGTCTCCCCCCCAGGAGGCAGAGGTCTCCCCAGTACACACCACCGTGGTACCATGGTACCCCCTGCTGTTTTAATGATCCCAATCACGGTTCATAGTTCTGCATTCATTGATATGGTTCTTTGATGAATATGTTGCTCCCTGACCAGACTGCGTGCTCCACCGGGGAGGGACCATGTCTCTTTATCTACTGAAGCATCCTGTGCTGGCCCCCAGCCTACATGAGATTCTCAGTAAATACCTTCAGGATGATTAAATAAATGCATTTAAGGCCAAGTCAGAATTGTATGCATGTTTTTGAAGTCTAAGGAAAGTGAGAGCGGATTTTTTTTTTTTTTGAGGATTTATGGTGTCCACCATGGTACCAAGTGCTTTACATTGTTTTCTATGTTGTGTATCTATCAGGACAGTAACTGTAGGAGGTCAGACTAGAAATGTGGAAGCTGATGTCTGGAATGATGAAAAAGCACACGTGTGTCTTCGAGGCTCGTGAGGCCACCCGACTCCGTGATCCATTTCCTTAACATTCTTCTTGATTCTGTTTCTTTCCAACTCCAATTTTCTAAGTTCATGAAAAAACAGCAACAAGCTCTTATAGCTATTACCATAATCAAGGGCCAGATTTACTTTGCTTTCTTTTTGGAGAGACTATTGATCTCTTGTGTTTGCATGCTTGCTGCCAGAGACAACGTCTTTTAAAAATGAAGTGTTTATGGATGGCAGTGATGAAAACTGTTCAGTGATGTGTGTGTTGTAAATACTAACCGCAAAATATGAAAACCTGAAAATATGAAGTCTTCCATAGAGTTCTTTTCTATTTGACTCTACAGTGTCAACTTTTTTTTTTTTAATTTAGACCTGTCAGAGGTGAAAAGATCAATTTCCTTTTTCATGGAGGCATTCAGTAATGGAATGAAAATCAGACTTCATTGGGGCACACTTTATCAATTAAATTTGAATGTTAACATCATCTTATACCTCTCATTTTAAATCACTCTTTTAAAAATCTCTTTCGTAAAACAGCATATATCCGAATGAGAAATCGCTCCAGCTGACAGAAATGTGCAAAAGTCTGCGAGATGGCTTTCAGAGATTATATAGCAAAGCAAAAAGGTAAGTTCTACTTTTTGCATTTGATTTTTTAGATGATTTTATTTATTTATTCATGAGAGACACAGAGAGAGAAGCAGAGACATAGGCAGAGGGAGAAGCAGGCTCCCTGTGGGGAGCCTAATGTGGGACTCGATCCCAGGACCCCGGCATCACACCCTGATCCAAAGGCAGATGCTCAACCACTGAGCTATCCAGGTGTCCCTTAATTTAATTTTAAAGTAAGTGTTTTGTGGTCAAAGTATTTTACAGCTGCTTTGAAACCATTTGGAAAATAAGACTGTGTTCATTCTCAGGCTTCACTTTGAGCTGTGAGAAGCTCTCTCTGGTAAGGAGGGTGGATGAGGGGTAGACAGTGCAGACCAGGGTCAGACAGACCCTGATAGGAGGGGACTCAATTTATCTGTCCTTGGATCCACATGTTCTGAAGACTCCATTTGGTTTTACTGGCTAGACTTTTATAGGCCTTCAGTCTTTTTGAAAAAACCTGGAAGCATTATGGACACTATCCTAGAAAAAATGTACACTTGTACTGAATCCCTTATAATTCCAGGAGGTTAGAAGATTTATCCTTAGTCCTAGCTGTGGTTCACCTTCCACTTCCCCCCTCACCCCCCACACCCACATGCTTCCAATCCGTATTTAAAGAGTTTCATATACCATTTTCTTCATACTGGGAAGGGAGACCTGAAAGCTCCAAGCTTCAAATATACAAGAGCCCCTGGTGGCCTAAGAGTCTGATGGGAGTGGTACTGCCTTGATTGCACCTGGAGGAGCAGAGTCTGACAGTTCTGGATGAAGGATGTGCATGTAGGGGGTGGGTGCTGTGGTACACCTGTAATCTTCCTCAGAGAACTAAGCTGAGTTGCTTTTAGTATTAATTATACTCAGGTGAACCTAGGATCTGCGAAGCAGGTCTCCCTGGAGAATGGCACATAGATTATCCAACTTTCTGGGCATAAAAGGTAACTGTTTTCTAGTAGAAATGTTCCTGCTGTGTAAGGAACCCTGCGGATCTCACTTGGAGACCTCAGCTACTATTCTAGGCTAGAGGCGCATGTCCAGTGCAGGAAGACAGGACCAGGGTGACCACCCCTGATGTCCTAGGCATCTCTGCTTTATCTGAGCCTCTTGACTGCCTGGGTCCTCGAAATTATTAGAGAAGCCTGATACTGGTTAAGATATCTGATTTGGGGATCCCTGGGTGGCACAGCAGTTTGGCGCCTGCCTTTGGCCCAGGGTGCGATCCTGGAGACCCGGGATCGAATCCCACATCGGGCTCCCGGTGCATGGAGCCTGCTTCTCCCTCTGCCTGTGTCTGTGCCTCTCTCTCTCTCTCTCTCTGTGACTATCATAAAAAATAAAAATAAAATTTAAAAAAAAAGATTTAAAAAAAAAAGATATCTGATTTGAGTTAATCTGGTTTGACAATCCAATCCTGTAGGGTCCAACCGATGGACCCTGTACTTCCTGGAGAAATCCACTGGGCCTTGTACCTTCCAACTGCCACACCTTTTTTTTTTTTTTTTTCCCTTTGCTACAGTTTAGTCTGTGCCTTTCTTTGCCCTGGAATGTTGACCCATGAGGACTTCATCAGTATACTCCTTGCTCCTTTTGTCATCTGGTTTTCATTGGCTTTGACCCAGAGGGAACACCAGAAGGAGAAAAGAAAGAAGAGGGAGGAAAAAGGATCTTTCTTTGTGTTGTTGCTGTAGGTTCACTACCTTCTTGACCAGAGGAAAGTGCTGCATCTTGAATGAAGATCATGACCTTTGTTAGGTGTCTCTTTCTCTTTTCTTCTGCCTTCACTCTCTCCTAGGACCCTTCAGCTCAGGAATAAGCTGTTATCAACTCCCTGACATTGTATTTGGATTTCCCAACATCCAGCCCCCAGGCCTCTTGAAAAAGTCCCTTTCTGAAACTTCTCTTAAATGACACAGTTGAGTGGGTCATCATTCCTTCCAGGACCCTCACTTACCATAGATTGGTAGAAGAAACTCTTGTAAATGCTTCTCTACCTGCATGATAAATTTATTGACTTTCGGAGTGGACTTAAAGGAGTTAATGCGTTACAGATGGTGCCACATGTGTGTTTTGATCACATGGTAGCTGTTGGTTTGTTTATTGGGTGTGGAGGTGTACAGGTATTTTTCTGAAAATTCTCCCATGGATCTCAAATCCCAAACCTACTGCAGGCTCCCTGCATCAGGCATTGCGCAGACGTGCAAAATGTAGAACTTGGGAAAATGAGTCCCTGCTCCACCGTACCTTGTGACAAGCTGGTTGTACTCCTTGCCTGATGAAACCACATGAAAGCGCATGAAAGTTGCCTTTAACTTTCTTCAACATTCTCTCTGACATAAACTGTTTTGGCTCCCTGAAGTGACAATAAGTCCTCAATGTAAGGATGATCCATAGCTGTACGTTGGAGCAAAGCACTTGAGTCAGCATGAGAGAGAATTCTTTAATCATGGAAGGTGTTTTTTTTTTCAAGGCCAGAATTGAACAACTTTATTATGTGCAGCAACAAAAATGGTTAGCTACCGTGTGCTAATGAGAATGCCTGTGCATATGCCCTCATGTTTGCTCTCTCACTTTTTTCTATTGTTTTGGATCTGGTGCTGAGACCTCTTCTCAGCTGTTCTTTAGGGGAATGTATTTCCATTATGCACACAATTTTCAACTAGCTCACATAATTAGCCTGTGCTGGTATTCTGTTTGGCAAAGGTCTAGAGAGAGCAAGGCATGAATTGCCCATTGTTATGAAAGTTTTATTTTGCACACAGGAGACTAATTTTTTTTCTGTTGTATCGTCTATTGTCAGGAATTGTGTGTTCTGTGACACAGTGCTATTATGGACTTACAAGGGACAGTCGGGAAAGCCATTCAGTGTGTAGTGATAAAAAGTAATTTCATTTTCTTAGAAATAATTATTTAGCTCTGTTTTTGTCATGATCTGTTAAAGACTTAGAATTTTCTCTTTCTTCAACCAATTTGTCCCTTTTGGTTTGCTAAAATAGAATCCAGGGAGACACAGTTATACTGGGAGAGAAACTACTCTTTTTCTCCATTGGTCTTTTGTACATTTTTATGTAAAGGAAAACTAAACAGTTGCCATTTGGAAGACAGCAGGATAGAATTCCAGTATCACAATTCTTTATTGACTGTTTAAGACTGAGCTCCATGGATGTGGCCCTATCCCATTGCCTCGCTAAAGCCAGAGTGTGGGTGTTTGCAGCACTCTCCTTCTCCCTGTCTGGGACAGGTGAACATGAGAGGTCATGGTACTGTCCCACAGCCGACCAAAAACCAGCATGCACTCCCAGACAAGGCACTACCGCACTATTCCTGAAACTCGTGGACACACGTCAAAACATTTTCCCACTGCCTTTCTGAGGTCAGCGAGCATGCCCTACTGCTATACTAGCTGACCAGTGGGCATGTGCAGTCCACACAGGGAACACCCTTTGGTTGCTTGGTCATGGTGGCTGGGGTCGGGGGGTGGGAGCTGGAGTTCCTAAGCATCCTAGAAAGGTAGCAATGCAAAGAACAGTTATTAGTAAGCCATCATGCTCAGGGCACTTCACAGACCGCAGACTGAAACACAACCTGTCTTTCCCTGAATAAGGCCTGTTTACTTAGCCTGGGGTTTCAGCCTGGGGGACAGGCTGTAGATTTCCCACACATCTGAAGGTTGGGGAGGTGTACCCAGGGAATGTAAGCAGGGAGACAGTATCCTTGAGCCATCACCATGGCCTCACCATAGCTTGATGAGACCCCCCCCCAAGAGAAGAGGTCATGCACTTAATGTGGAGCCCCAGTTTTTGCTCTCTTGTCCAGAGGACACCTCTAGATCTAGTCTGGAGGCCAGAAGGAATTATGATTGTGGCCCTACAGGAGTGTATATATTTGCATACTTTAGAAGCTGCTGCCTGAGGGTCTGGCTTCCAATCAGCCTAAAACTAAGTGCTAAATGAAATTCGTCCTATTGGAGCACTCACAGTTCTTGGCACACTCTTTTTTATTTCTTTCTTTTTTTTTTGGCACACTCTTAAAAACAGGGATGTATCAAAAATAAAGTGTGTGGTTTAGACAATCACAAAGGTTCAAGAGATAACCAACATCTAGCACAAGGTCAAACAAGAATGTTCATCACCTATACAAGACCACTTCTTCAGGACAGAGAGGTAGCTGCTTCACTTAATACACAGAAACAAACACAGGGAGTCGAGCAAACTGAGGAAACAGAGAAATATGTTCCTAACAAATGAATAAGACAAAACCTCAGAAAAAGACCTTAATGATATGCAGATAAGTAATCTACCTGATAAAGAATTCAAAGTCATGGTCATAAAGTTTCTCACTGAACTTGGGAAGAACACAGTGAGAAATCCAACAAAGAGAGTATGAGAAAGTACCAAACGATAGTCACAGAACTGAAAAATACAACAACTGAAATGAAACATACACAAGAGGGACTAGAGTGGTTCAACAGTAGATGGGGTGAAGTGGAAGAATGGATCATCAAGCTGGAAGACAAAGTAATGGAATTCACCCAGACAGAGCAGTGGAAAAAAATGAAGAAAACTTAAGAGACCTATGGGACAACATCCAGTGGAATGGTCTTTACGTCATAGGAGTTCTAGAAGGAGAAGAGAGAGAGAAAGGGGCAGAAGACTTATTTGAAAGAATAATGACTGATAATTTTCCTAACCTGGTGAAGGAAACAGACATCTAGGTTTAAAAATACAGAAATTACAAAACAAGGTAAGTCCAAAGAGATCCACACCAAGACACATTATAATTAAAATGTCAAAAGTTAAAGACAAAATCTTAAAAGAAGTAAAAGAAAAAGCAATTTCCCATTGTTACATACAAGGGAAACACCATTAGGCTATCAACAGATTTCTCTGCAGAAGTTTTGCCAGGCCAGATGGGAGTGGCATGATATATTAAAAGTGCTGACAGGAAAGAAAAATCTTCCAGCCAAAAATACTCTACCC